TATTGAAAAAACAGAACGTCGCATGTCTGGGGGAGCATCACGTGCCACTTTGCCGGCTCTTGCGAATCGACGCCCATCGACGCGCCTTGCCGCGAATCGACGCTAAATCGACGCTGGGTCGCGGGTTCTCACAGACCACTGGGCGCTACTGCACGCGAGTGCACTCTGGAGGCACGGAGCTTCGAGGGCACATGGGCCCCCATGATTTGCTGCTGCCGAATCCCCCGTCTGGAGAAGAAGAGAACGGGGAGCATGACCAAGACTGAACGAGGAAACGTGGTGTCGGTCTTGGTCAACGTCGATCTTGGGCAGCGCCAACTCGTGGATTATCCTCTCGAACCGGCGAAGGCCCGCATGGACCATGACCAGGATCGCCATCGACAGACTCCCGCGACATCTTGGACATGGTCAGTGTACTTCGTCCCTCGAGCCCCCGCCCTCAGGCCCGATCGCGGCCGCCGACTCCAGCGGCACCCCCGCGGACGCCCGGCCCGCGGCCCCGCTCGGCGCGCGCGCTGGCGCGGGCGCCTCCGCGCCCTCGGGCAGCAGTGGGCCGCACGCGCCCTCCGCCCTCCCTGGCGTCTCGGGGGCGCTCACGGCCCTCCTCGGCGCCTCTGGCGGCCCCGAGCACGCGGGCGACGCGCACAAGGCCTCGTCCTCGAGCATCGTTCGGCCGAGCCCACTGGCGTGGCCTGGGCCCCACTGGCCGATTCGCCCACCGCCACCCCCTACCCGATAGGAAAACGGGCCGTTCTCTTCGGGTTTCGAAGGGCCTATCGCCAACTGGGGGGGGGGGATGGCGGCGCGGGCGGAGATGCCATGGCCCGATGGGGATGGGAAAATGGGAGAATAAAGACTGACATAAACCATAAACATAAAAACTCGGAGGCCCGCGCGAATTCCTCGGATCGGCGCTGGGGCCCTCTGGGTGCGCCAGGGATGAGGGCCCAGCGCCGATCAGACAAATCCGCGCAGAACTTCGAGTTTTTAACTTTATGCCTTCGCTTGCTCCCCAAAGCCTCAGAGGGGCCCAAGACGGCCCCAGGAGCCCTTAAGACGAGCCCAGGAGGGCCCCAAGAGGGGCCCAGTGGGCCACTACAAACTGGCATCTCGAGTCTTTCCCGCCGCGGTGGACCCAAGAGCACCGCAGTGACCCCCGAGGCGCCCCCAAGCGGCCACAAGAGGCGGGGATGGGCCAAACGATACTGGGTCCTCCCACGTCTCGGGCGGCGCCACCGCGGCGGCCGCGGCCGCGCCCGCCCTCTCTCGAGCCGCGCCCAGCTGGCAGCCGTCGCCGCCGCTGCCGCCGCCTGGCTCCGCGGGGCCGGCGGCGGCCCGCCCGGCGGGCGGGGCCGCGTCCACGGAGGCGGCCTTGGCCCAGGCCCCGCCGGGCTTCGGCGGCGCGCCGCCGCGCACGGGGCCCCCGCCGCCGCCGCCGAGCGACAGCGCCCTGGCGGCCTGCGGGGGGCCCTGCGCCCAGGCCCCCTGGGGCCTCATGGCGCCGCGGCCACGGCGGCGGCCGCGCCCCGCACGCGCGCGCGACGCGCCTCCGCGCGACTCGAGCCTCGGCCAGCGCGGCGCGGCGCGCGATCCTGGCGCTGCAATTTCTGATGAGCGCCACCTGCCGTCGCCTGGCTGCTAAAGAAAAATCCAAGACACCAGGGGGGGGGGGGGGGGGGGGGGGGGGGGGAATTCCCCCTCTCCCTTCCATGGGAACTGGAGGGCGGGCCCCCGCCCCCAGAAACCGAAGGGGCGGGGTCGAACCGCCAGAGGGGGGGGAAGGGGGGTCCAAACGGCTCGAAAAAACTCGATCCAGCTCTAATCGAATCCTGCCACTAGGGCGACTAGGATCCTGGTAGGGCTCGACCCAACCTTAATACGACCTTACGAGGGTTCGGTCCAGCTTTCATAGCACCCCACTAGCACTCAGTCGTAGTCTTCGACGTCGTAGTCGTCGCCGCCGTCGTCGTCGCCGGCGACGTCGTCGCTCTTGGCGGAGCTCCCCCCACCCGCCCCCTCGGTTCGAACCCGGGGGGAGGGGATCCACCCCAGATATAGGACAAATTACAACCAGCCCAACCAAGATCCAACCACGATCCAACCAATTCCATACTGATCCCAACCACTTCGTTACGAATCTCAGCCACTGCAGGATGAACCCCGACCAACCTCCATGAAACGCCTCACATGCGTTTCGCGGACGTCTTACGGGCGTCTCTGAGAGGCATCTTTGGGAGGAGTCTCTGACCGACGTCTCAAGCCCCGTCCGTTGGTTTTCAAGCATCTCCTAGGATTAGGTCGGGCATATCCTCCTACAGGAGGATTTTGGACGAACATTATCATTTACAACAAAAAGTCGAAAGATCGTCCCCAGACTCTTTTTTGACTATTCTGAACACTCCTCCTGTACAGGGGCATGCCCGACTTAACCTCAAACCCCGCCCGCTGGCTTTTGTTGGCGCCTCTTGGGAGCTCGGGCTCAGGCCTGGCTGGGCAGGGCTGCGGCCCACCCAGGCGTCCGTCGAGCCCCCTCGAGCCGTGCCCTCGGTGCCGGACGCCCGCCCGCCCTCGCTCGCCCATCTCGCCGCTACTTCTCCTGGCCGGCTCCCCCTCCGTAGCCGTTTTGGCTGAAGCATGCGTTGAGCATTCAAACCCTGAGCTCCTTAATCCTGCACACCCCTAAGCTGTTGAAACCTTGAACACTGAAAGCCTGCACCGTGAAACCCGTAAATCCTTAAACCTTAAATCGTTAAACCCTTACGCCGTTGAGGCCCTCAAGGTCTCAAGGGCTCAGGGTAAGCCCTTAAGCCCTACAGTTCTGAACTTTTAAACCCTTAAACCCTGAAGGTCTTAGACCCTTCAGTCCTTAAACCAATCAACCAAATCCCCAGTCAAACATTGTCCAGGTTGTCTGGGCATTGCACTTTTCTTTTGTTCTCGAAAATATACTACCCATTCATTAACACCGACATCAACATACACACTTCGAGTTACACAACATCGCAAGCCGTTTTGGTGCAAATTCCAACACGGGCAGTCGTGCCAGTTTCTGGAGTAAGTGTGCACACATAAGCAGATTACTTGGCTTACGGGGTATACGTATATCACCTCACAACTAACATCATACAGTGAGGCTACTTGGCCGATTGGAACTTGTATCCGTATCCGTTCGTGCTGGTTGGAGGAAGTACCAACTGGTTGTGATTACTCCCGGTCTTTTGCCAAGCTGATCCATATTAGTGCAACATGCAAATCATTATTTGTACACCCGCCTCAGGCTCGCCTGACAACGGCTATGCCGCGCCAGGGTCGCCGAGAAGCAGTTGACTGCGCAACTTCCTTTGGTCTCCTTTCTGGTCTAGGACTGAGTATGCGCACTCTTTCGAGCACCCCTGGTCCAGTCCGTCTCCAGCGATTCGGCGTGTGCTTGGCTATCCTCTTCAGGACCTGCCACAACCAACCACACGGGGCAGGCCGACGTCGTCACGAACGACACCTCTGTTTCTGACTGTGCGAAAACACCACGCGTACCTCTTGAATGCAAAGATACACTGCGTCTGGCTGTATTCTGGGATTCCGTCGTCCAAACCAAAATTGCCAGAAGATGTCAAGACAAGTTCTGAGAACCTGCTGTTTTGGCCTTCAAAGAAGGGGGGAAACAACTGCCCCCCCCTCTTTCGTGACACCGCCGGCAACCGCAGCTAAGCCGGGCGATTGCCCCCTTTTCCTTGAGCGGGCACTAACCACGGCTCAGGGGTGTGAGCCACCCGACCCCTGCGTTAGGCGCTCGTGGATAATCAGAGCGCACCTGCGAAGCCCCCTTGTTGGTAAAGCCACCACTGCTACCTCTCTGACCGTTGGGAATAAGGCCGCACCACCGAAGACGAGCTCCTGGAGAGCGTTTCGGCTGATAACAATTTTTTGTCAAGCATATCCATATTAGTGCAACATACAAGGAATTCTTTGGACACCCGCCTCAGGCTCGCCCAGCAACGGCTATGCCGCGCCAGGGTCGCCGAGAAGCAGTTGACTGCGCAACTTCCTTTGGTCTCCTTTCTGGTCTAGGACTGAGTATGCCCACTCTTTCAGGCACCCTTCAGGACCTGCCACAACCAACCACACGGGGCAGGCCGACGCTGTCACGAACGACACCTCTGTTTCCGACTGTGCGAAAATACCACGCGTACCTCTTGAACGCAAAGACACACTGTGTCTGGTTGTACTTTGGGACTCCTGCGTACACACCAAAATTGCCAGAAGATGTCAAGACCGGCTCTGAGAACCTGCTGTTTTGGCCTTCAAAGAAGGGAGGAAACAACTGTTCCAGCTAGTTGGGATCAGTCCGAGATGCGGTCCGCCCCTCCACCAGGTTCGGCGTGCGATACAATGGCCCAGGGGGGGATAGGGGATCAGTCAGACGATCCTGATGGACACTCCCCCCGCCTCGGGGGCGGGCAGGTATCCACACGCACCACTTCTCCAGAGGTCCTCGAGGTCCCAGTGGCACCACTCCGAGGTGGTGGATAAATGGACACGTGTTGGTTTCTGCAAACTCTGGATCCAAAAGGTTAACAACTCTTGAAGGCACAACTTTTACCTCCGCCAGCTTCCGCCGGCCTTCCGCCGCCTTCCGCCGAGGAAGAGATGCCAACTCCTTCGACCCCTCTCTGGAGCGCGCCGCGTGTTCTGTCGGTGGTTTAGGTCGTGTCGATGCATACCCCCTGAGCCTATCCCCCCCCCAATGATCCTCGTCGTCAGATTTTTTTCGGGGTATGACTCGGGTCTCAGGCGGGACGACACGTCACCCCCAGACGCCTCTCGGCGAGGCGCAGCTGATGGAGAGCATCCCGAGGCTGGAAAGCCGCCGAGAACGGCGCCCGAAAACCTCAAACCTCGAACCTCAAGCCCTCCGCCCCCGAGCCTATCCCCCCCCTGGCGTTGGCGGGCCTCTGTCTCCCTCCCTCGCGCAGGAGCGGACGCCGCGGGCTGCGCGCGCGCGCCTGGCGCCAACAGGCTCCGCGCGGGCAGCTCGAGGCTCTCCGCGGGCAGATGGCCGAGCCTCACCAGCAGCCCCAGCAGCTGCTGGGCCTCGGGGACCGGCCGGGGCGACGCATCGATCGGCTGGGTCGCTTCATTTAAAGGGGCCCTGGGCCCTGCGCGCCGTCGTCGTCGTCGTCGGCGTCGGCGTCGGCGTCGGCGTCGTCGGCGTCGGCGTCGGCGTCGGCGTCGGCGTCGGCGTCGGCGTCGGCGGCGGCGGTCGACTACCGGGAAGACGCCGAAAGGGCGCGAAGGCAGCGGCGCCCGGCCGCCGAGCGCCAGGGCCCCGCGGTGCGCGCTTCTGCCGGCGCGGACGGCCCTGGTGGCCCCCGCGCGCTCCAGTGGGCCACTCTGCGACGACCCAGCGTCGGGAGGGGGAGGGGGAGCAGGACGGGGCTGGCAAGGGGAGGAGGAGGAGGAGGAGGAGGAGGAGGAGGAGGAGGAGGAGGAGGAGGAGGAGGAGGATGGGAAGGGAGGGAGAGGAGGAGAAGTAGGAGGAGGGAGGGGAAGAGGAGGACACATCTGGGGGTTCGACAGGGGGGAGTTGTTTAGGAGGAACAGGGTGGAGGAGGAGGAGGAGGAGGAGGACCAGTGCAAACCCAAGACGTATCAACGATGTTGAATTAAACCCTCCCTCCAGGCTTCCTCTTCACAGGTCCCTACAAGAATTCGCTTTCATTGCGGGAAGTGCCCCATTGGAAGACAACCGTTTGAGAATCCCGAATCGTTCCAAAACCTAACTCCCGGGACTCCAACGCCGCGAATCGACGTGACTGTGGCGTCCTGCCGGTCCAAAGTCGCGCCAGAACACAAGTCATTGGACTTCAATACCGCGAATACACATGCCTGTTGCGTCCTGATCACCCTGACGCATGCCAGAAAACCACTCCTGGAATTTCAACCATACGAACATATCGGACTGCTATAAACGTTTGAAACGAGTATGCGCGGCGCTAGAGCGAGAGCCACATTTTGAAAAGAAGCCGCCCCCCATCTTTGAAACTGTCGCAAATGTTTGAAACAAATGCGCGCGGCGCGAAAGCAAGAGCCACATGTTGAAAAGGATCCGCCCTCCATTCCTGAAACTGATGAAAAATTGTACGACGAATGCGCGCGGCGCGAAGAAGGTAGCCACACTTTTGAAAAGGACCCGCCCTACATTATTGAAACTGCTGCAAACATTGAGACGAATGTGCGCGGCGCGGAACCAAGAACCTTATTTTGAAAAACACCCGCCCTCCACCCGTGAAACCGTTACAGACTGTAAAGTCGAATATGTGGGAGCCGCATTCTGAAAATCACCCGCCCTCGATCCGTGAAACCTTCGCAAAGTTCAAGCTTCGGGATCACAAATGCTGAGGAAGTCTCAAGCGAAACGCCCGCCCCGCCTTACTGACGCATCTGGACGCGTGACAGGGAGCACTTGTTTACAAGGGAAGAGGATAGAAAAGGATGAGGTGGTGGAAGTAGCGGAAGACTACAACACCGACGACCGATGGACGACGGGCCGCGGACACCGGACGATGGACGAGGACGAGGGGCGACGGACGACGGATGATAAGCGACGACGACGACGACGATGACGACGGCGACGACGAGGACGGCGGCGGCGGCGACGACGACGGACGACGACCACGACGATGACGACGACCACGACGACGACGACCACGACGACGAGGACGACGCACGAAAGACGGAGGACGACGTACCACGATCACGACGACGACGACGACGACGACGACGACGACGACGACGACGACGACGGACGACGGACGACGGACGACGGACGACGACTACGACGACGACGACGACGACGACGACGACGACGACCACGACCACGACCACCACGCCCACGACCACGACCATGACATCGACCACGACCACGACCACGACCACGACCACGACCACGACCACGACCACGGCCACGACCACGACCACGACCACGACGTCGATCGGAGACATCGACGACCTACCCTGGGACTCTCACCGTGGACTCGTCCACCCCGCCAGAGCAGCTCCACTCGCCGGCGGCAAGGAGACGCGCCAGCCCCCCGCTCAAAGGTGGGCCAATTCTCGCGTGCCGAAGGGTCCGGCAACGACGACGGCGCTGACGACAACGGTGGCGTCGGCGTCGGCGCCAGTGCCAGCCGCAGCAGCAGCAGCAGCAGCAGCAGCAGCAGCAGCAGCAGGGCAGCCCCGGCTCCATCTCCTCCTCCTCCTCCTCCTCCTTCCTCTCCTCCTCCTCCTCCCCTCTCCTCCTCCTCCTCCTGCTCCGCTCCTCCTCCTCCTCCTCCTCCTCCTCCTCCTCTCCTCCTCCTCCTCCTCCTCCCTCCTCCTCCTCCTCCTCCTCCCTCCTCCTCCTCCTCCTCCTCCTCCTCCTCCTCCTCCCTCCTCCTCCTCCCCTCCTCCTCCTCCTCTCCTCCTCCTCCTCCTCCTCCTCCTCCTCCTCCTCCTCCTCCTCCTCCTCCTCCCCTCCTCCTCCTCCCTCCTCCTCCTCCTCCTCCTCCTCCTCCTCCTCCTCCTCCTCCTCTCCTCCTCCTCCTCCCTCCTCCTCCTCCTCCTCCTCCTCCTCCTCCTCTCCTCCTCCTCCTCCTCCTCCTCCTCCTCCTCCTCCTCCTCCTCCTCCTCCTCCTCCTCCTCCTCCTCCTCTCCTCTCCTCCTCCTCCTCCTCCTCCTCCTCCTCCTCCTCCTCCTCCTCCTCCTCCTCCTCCTCCTCCTCCTCCTCCTCCTCCTCCTCCTCCTGGCCGCGAGGCTGGTCGCCAGGCTGGCCGTGAGGCTGGTCGCCAGGCTGGCTGTGGGGCTGGCCGTGAGGCTGGCCGTCGGACCGGCCGTGGGGCTGGCAGTCGGGCTGACCGTGGGCCTGGCAGGGCTGGCAGTCGGGCTGGCCGTGGGGCTGGCCGTGGGGCTGGCCGTGGGGCCGGCCGCGGGGCGGGCAGTCGGGCAGGCCAAAGGGCTGGCCGTCAGGCTGGCCGTGAGGCTGGCCGTGGGGCAGGTTGGGCTGGTCGTGGGACTGCCCGTAGGGCTGGCAGTCAGGCTGGCCGTGGACTGCCTGTAGGCTGGCAGTCGGGCTGGCCGTCGGGCCGGCCGTAGGATTGGCAGTCGGGCTGGCCGCCGGGCAGGCCGTGGGGCTGGCCGTCGTGCGGGCCGTGGGGCTGGCAGTCGGGTTGGCCGTGGGGCTGGCCGCGGGGCTGGCCGCAGGGCTGGCCGTCGGGCTGGCCGTCGGGCTGGCCGCGGGGCAGGCCGTCGGGCTGGCCGTGGGGCTGGCCGGGCTGGCCGTGGGACTGGCCGTGGGGCCGGCCGCAGGGCTGCCCGTAGGGCTGGCCGTGGAGCTGGCCGTCGGGTCGGCCGTGGGGCTGGCCGTGGGGCTGGCAGTCGGGCTGGCTGTAGGGCTGGCCGCGGGGCCGACGGGTTGGCCGTCAGGCAGGTCAACGGGTTGGCCGTCAGGCGGGCCGTGGGGCGGGCAGCCGGGCAGGCCGTGGGGCTGACCGTCAGGCTGGCTGTGGGGCTGGTGGCAGCCAGGCAGGTCGTGGGGCTGGCAGTCGGGCTGGCCGCGGGGCTGGCCGTCGGGCTCGCTGTGGGGCGGGCCGTGGGGAAGGCTGCGCGCCGCCGCGGTGGCGCCGGCCATCGCGCCCTCCACCGCCGCCGCCGCGTCTAGGAGCCGGCAGCAGCAGCGGCCGCGGCAGCAGCGGCGGCGGCGAGAACGGCGGCCAACCCAGCCCCAGCCAAGGCCGGGGCCAGCGCCAAGGCGGCCGCGGCACCAGCAGCGGCGGCCGCCGGCGGCGGCCCACGCGAGGAGGCAGCGGCGGCGGCCGCGGCGGCGAGCGCGGCAAGCAGAGAGGGGGCGGCGGCGGTGGCCCAAGGGGCCGCCAGCAGGTCCGCCGGCGCCGACGGCACCGGCGCCAGCAGCGGCCTGGCGCCCGCGGGGGCCGTGCTGGGGGGCCGCCTGCCGCCGCGGCAGCACCAGCCGCCGCGGCGGGGGCAGCCAAAGCGGCGGCGGCAGCCGCCGCGGAGGGGGCGCCGGAGGCCGAGCTGGCAGCCGCCGCGGCAGCGGCGTCGGCCGCCGCGCTGGCGGCCGCAGGCGGCCGCAGCGCCAGCGGCCGCGGCAGCGGCGCGGGCAGCGGCCGGCGCCACGGCGGCCGCAGCGCCAGGGCCAGCAGCGTGCCGCGGCGGCGGCAGCCGCGTCAGAGGCGGCCGCGCGGCAGCGGAGCGGCGGGGCCGGCGCTCGCGGCCGCGGCGCCGGCGGCCGCGGCGGGAAGGCGGCCGGCCACGCGGAGCCAGGGGCCGCGGCCGAGCGGCGCGCGGCCCCGGCGGCGCGGGTGGTGGCGGGGGGCAGCGGCAGGCGGGGCGGCAGCACCGCGGTGCCGGCCAGAGCCACGCCGGGGGCGCGAGCGGCGGCTGCACGACGAAGCCGACGACGCCACGCCGTGGGCGCCTCGGCGCCGCCGCCACGCGGGCAGCGCGAGCGGCGGCAGCCCGGCGCCGTCGCCACCGCAGGGGACGCCATCGCCCAGGAGCGGCGGCCGAGAGGGGAGGGAGACGAGACCCCCCTGCCCAAGCCGCCGCCGGAGGCCCGCGGGCGCGCCCGCCAGGCCGCGGGACCCAGGCCGCGCAAGCCACCTCGAGCGGAGACGGCTTGAGCCAAAGGCTACGGACTGGTGGGGATACTTTTTTGTCAGCAGCCGCGAGCGAAAGCGCAAACGGCGAGTCGAGTCAGAGCGGGCCGCGCAAAGACGAATTGTGAGGGTGCAGGCTGCGGCTGCCAGGGGCTGAGGCTGGTTGGGATACTTTTGTCAGCGACCGCAGGCGAGCGCGCCAGCGACGAGTCGAGTCAGAGCGGGCCGCACAAAGACGAATTCACCTAAAGCGGTGGGCCCGAGCCTCACGCGGCACCTCGGCGGCCAGGCCGGCGAGTGGAGGGGTGCTGGCGGCGGCTGCCGGGGAAGCTGCACTGCCAGGGATTGCACGCATGCAACGAACTGCAGAGAGGCTGACTGCCAGGGAGGCCGACTGCCAGCTGGTGGGGATACTTTTTTTGGTCGCGGCCGCGGGCGAAAGCGCACACGGCGAGTCGTAAGTCTGGGGCGCGGGCCTACTAATTGACAACAGCAAGCTAGAGCCGACAACCGCTGGTGGGGATGCGCGAAGCGTCAAGAATCGTCATCAGCAGCAGCAGCAGCAGCATCAGCATCAGCATCAGCATCAGCATCAGCATCAGCATCAGCATCAGCATCATCATCATCATCAGCAGCAGCATCATCATCATCAGCAGCAGCAGCAGCAGCATCACCATCATCATCATCATCATCATCATCATCATCATCATCATCATCATCATCATCATCATCATCATCATCATCATCATCATCATCATCATCCAACATCGTTCTGCGCATCCTCCTCCTCCTTTCCTCCCCCTCCTCCTCCTCCACCACCTCCTCCTTCTCCTCCTCCTCCTTCTCCCCCTCTATACTGTCTGTCCTCCTCCGCCTCCTCCTCCTCTTCCTGTTTCTCCTCCTTCTCCTCCTCCTCCTCCTCCTCCTTCTCCTACTCCTCGTCACCATCCTGAATCATCCACCCTCCACCCTCCATACTCATCCTCCTCCGGATTTTCCTGATTTCCTGATGGCATTGGTGTTCTCCGAACGCTGCCGGTCACGTCCTCCTCCTCCTCCGCATCCGCATCCTCCTCCTCCTCCTCCTCCTCCTCCTCCTCCTCCTCCTCCTCCTCCTCCTCCTCCTCCTCTGCCTCGTCCGTCTCTTCTCCTTCAAAATAACTCCTCCCTGTCACACCCCCAGACGCGTCGGTTGGGCGGGCCAGGCGTTTCGCCTGAGACTTCCTCACCGCTTAAGATCGGCAACAGCTTCACATATGGAGGGCGAGACTTTTCAAGCTGTAATTCTTGCCTCAGCGCCGCGCACATTCACCTCCAAAGTTTGCAAACGTTTCACGGATGGAGGTCAGGTCTTTTTCAAAATGTGGCGCTGGCCTTAGCACCGCGTACATTCGTCTAAAAAGTCCGCAACAGTCTCGAGGATGTAGTGCGAGTCGGCTTCAAACTGTGCCTCTAGCAATAGCGCCGCGCACATTCGTCTACAAAGTGTGTAACTGTTTCAAGGATGGAGGGCAGGCTGTCTTCAAAATGCGGATATCGCCTGCGTGCCGCGCAGATTCGCCTTAAAAGTTCGCAGCGGTCTCACGGATGGAGGGCGTGTCCTCTTCAAAATGTGGCTCTCGCCTCAGCGCCCCGCACATTCGTGCACAAGCTTGCAACCGTCTCAAAGATTCGAACGGTCGAATTTCCAGGCATCGTGTTCTGTCACGATTTCAGACTGTCAGGGCGCAAAGTCACTCTGATTCGCGGTGGTGAAGTCCCAGGAATAGCGTTCTGGCTCGAATTAGAACTGTCAGGACGCAAGAGTCGCATTCATCCGCGGCGTTGAAATCGCAGGAGCAGTGTTTTGGCACGTTTATAAATTATTGTACAATTCTCTTCTGACCGGCAGTGAAAGTAACAAATTGTTTCAGGGACCTACGAAGAGGGACCTTGGAGGGAGTGTTTACTGCAACGTCGTTGATGCATCTTGGGTGTACGCTGGTCCTCCTCCTTCTCCTCCTCCTCCATAACCAATCCTCCTCGTCCTCCTCCTCATCCCCCTCCTCCTCCTACTCCTACTCCTCCTCATCCTCTTCCTTCTCCTCCTCCTCCTCATCCTCCCTCCTCCTCCCCCATCCTCCTCCTCCTCCTCCTCCTCCTCCTCCCCCATCCTCCCCCATCCTCCTCCTCCTCCTCCTCCTCCTCCTCCTCCTTCTTCTCATCTCCCTCCTCCTGATGTCCTTCCCTCCTCCCCTTTCCTCCTCTCCACCTCGAGCCGTCGGCGCCCTGCCCTCCCCTCGCCCTCGCGGGCGGAGGAGGAGAAGGGGGCGTCCAAGAGAAGGGGGCGTCCAAGAGAAGGGGGCCAAGAAGGGAGCGTCCAAGAGAAGGAGGCGGCCAAGAGGGGGGCGTCCAAGAGAAGGGGGCGCAAAGCATGACCGGCGGCATGTGCGCGGCCCAGGGGGGGGGGCTGGGGACGTAATGAAATGTGAAGCGGCGCCATGAAGTCTGGGGAGATATCATGGCCCACGCCATGATATCCACCCCTCCCTACATCATCCCCCTCCTGGCCGCCCCCGAGGGTACCCAAGCCCTTGCAAACGGGGCGTTAGTAAACGGACCGGTAACCAAGGGTGCGTCTTCAATGGTGCTTTCAATAAGTTGATTTGCCGCGCATAGGTGCGAGGTAAACCCCCCCGCCCAGAGTTATAATAATGTGTGGATCTTTTGTCGTCCCGATTTATCACGAACTAGTGCGAGGCAAATGCCCTGTCGCCCCGTTCTCGTTTGAAGAGGCCCCTTAGCTACCACCCTGTTTACTAAGGCCCCGTTTGCAGAGGCTTGTGGTACCAGGAGGCTTTGGGAGGTTCCCCCGCGCAGAAAGTATCCATGGGGTCGCGTAGCCATGGGATCGCGCCTCGGCCTCCAGACCGCAAGGTCGTGGATATGGATGTGCTCGTCGCTCTTGACGCCCCTCACCCCTCCAACTGCCCAGAAAGAAGCCGCGGGCGGCCGCGGGTGAGTAAGCGGGGGAGGGGGCGGCGGCCGCCGGAAAGGCCCTCTGGCATCGAGGGCGTCCTGCTGAGACAGGCCGTGGCCCTGGCTGAGACGGTCGACCGCGCCGTTCTGCACGTTCGCCTCGACCGCGAGCAGCCACGACGACAGCGACAACACCGACGAGAGACGACGACGACGACGACGAGAGACGACGACGACGACGACGACGACGACGACGACGACGACGACGACGACGACGACGACGACGTTGACGACGACGACGGACGACGATGACGATGACGACGACAGACGTCGGCGGCGGCGGTGGCGGCGACGGCGGCGAAGGCGGCGCGGCAGCCACGACGACGACGACGACGACGACGACGACGACGACGACGACGACGACGACGACGACGGCGACGACGACGACGACGACGACGATGACGACGACGACGACGGCGGCGGCGACAGACAACAGACGACGGCGATGCGTTAGTCCCCCAAATCCTTGAACTCTTCGCACAGGAGCGACGTGTGGCCGACAACCTCCCGCACGCAGCCCATCTTGCGGCGGCACGCCTCGACGGGCGCGCGCGCATGCGCACAGCAGCGGGCAGGGCGAGGGAGGCAGTCCCGTGTGCATCCTCGGCTGGGACCCGGCCTCTCGTGCAGGACAGGGCCCATGCATACGTGGGTGACGCGCATGCCGAGCCAGACCACGAGAGCGAGACCCAAGTCTGGAACGGACAAACCGACCGTGCCCAGGTGAGCCAAAGGCGAAGTCACGGATCCTGGCCGAAGTTCGGAGAGCCACCGCGGCATCTGAGCTTGTGGTCCTTCTGCGGACAAGGCCATGGCGCCACAGAGGTGCCGGAAGAGGTCGTGTGACTACTTCCCCTGGCGCCCTGCATCTTAAGACATGCTGTCCACTTCTTAGTCTCAGCATCCACATGTTCCGCACTCCCGACACGACGTGCCGGCGACAACGCTGCTCCTCAGAAACAATCGTCCCGGAACCTCAGGGGGCAGAGAGCGGCGAAGGGGCGGCACCCGCCCTCAGAGGGAGGGGGTGGGGCGTCATTCCATGTTGCGTTCTGATCACACTGCTCTTCGAAGCCAACGCGGTTGCTGCGCCCACCGGCTGAAGGACCTACAGAGTCTCTGCGCGGAGGAACGCCGACATGCGCCCGAGGTGAGAAACCAGCATCTGGCATCTGGGCCCGCCAGCAGAAAATCGCGTGGCGACAGTGCCAGAGAGCGACTAGAACAGCGCCTGGAGAGGCGTGGCAGAGTGGTGAGCTGGGGAGGAGCTGGTACGGACCTCAGCGAGGAGTTGAAACCCTCGACTTAGCCAGACGAGTCATCCACCACTGCCTGCAGCGGCAACACCATGCGCCTACCCCTCTGCCAACTAACAAGGCGGCAGTCGCAAAAAAAGATCTCCTGTAGCCAGGAGACATGCCACCCGATGCCCCTCTCCACCCGCTCACTCTCCACCCCTCCCATTTGTGAACCGCCGCGGGCAAGGCAGAACAAAATCACATGGCTCTACCTCCACCTGCGCAACCCTCTCATTCACCATTGTTTCTCCTTTACCCTCGCCACAGTTTAGGTCGGCGTCACTGCCCTCATCCAATGGACCGATGGGGCGAGACTGGGGGGAAGGCTTGGGGTCCAGAGCACGGCGGTTCGCATATCACCAGTACGACTTAAGCCGACGCGAGCACTTGCTGTCCAGCTGAGGCTGAGCGTAGCAGTGACAGCAGATGCTGCGACAGGCAAAGAACGACAGGTGGCAGATGTCATGTCCGATTATGATATAGGGACGTACTGGCCGCCAACACGGCGACGAAAGCATGGCCGACTTGCCGCGCATAGACTTGCACAGCAACAAAAACTAGGCGACGCGAGCGGCAGAAAGCGAAAGGCAAAAGCAAAGTACACAGGCCAACGACGAACTCAACACCCACGACGAATTTCATGAACGGCGAATTCAAAATCGACAACGACATCCTGACGACGAGGTCAAGATCGAGAAAATCTTCTAACGACGACTTTTCGCTGACGACGAATACGAACACCGGGCTGACGCGACTAGCTCAGACTTGGATGTCGCTGCAACAGCTTGACATGGAGAATAACACTCCATACTTCCATCCAGAATTTCGTCGGACCAGTGCGTCGCGCAGGTTTGTCGGTCGTGCTGGGCAAGTCTTTGGCGGGCTTCCCGGGGGGGTCAGGCTTGTCAGTCCCTGGCTTGCGGGGGCCGGGGCGCGGGACAGATCGAGCAGGACCAGCCCTCGCATCCGCGCTCTCTCTTGGAACAGCGGCGGCGCCAGCCCAGGTCAGAACCCTGAAGCTAATCAGGGTACGGGCGGCTGCTTTCGAGACGGGGTCCTGGCCTCGACACGAGACTCTGGCTTGTGAAGAGTATGTTTTTCCGCGGGTTTAACCCTACCCATCGGTCGGAAGAATTAGGTACAACCATGAAGTAGGAAGGCGTTGAAAGTAGATTGGGTCTCCCCCCGCCTCCTGAAGAGGAGGGGAGAGGGAAGCCACTCGATCATTGAAGTAGGAAGGCGCCTAAAGTAGATTGGGATCTGGGCGTCCAAAAATACCCACTTGCAACGACCGATGGGCATGGGTTTTGACAGCATGACTGATGCCACGGCCAGGGCGCAGGCGAGGCGAGGCGAGGCGAGGCGAGGCGCCGACATATGCGTCCAGAAGGACGGACCGCCCCACGAGAGCACGGCGGTTCGGCTGGAGCCCGGGAGGCACTTTGGATTCACCTGTGATTCATGAGCGCGAAAGCTCCCGGAGGAGGTAGGGCGACGACGACGACGACGACGACGACGACGACGACGACGACGACGACGACGACGACGGCGGCGGCGACGACGACGACGACGACGACGACGACGACGGAGAGCAAGAACCGACACAATTGACAAAAGACCTACACTCCAGAAGAGGCTGGCCAAACGCCGACGCATACGCGTCTGAATGCATACGCAGAGTAGGAAGAGCAGGAACAGGGAACGGACAAAGGTATGGCCCCGGACCTCTGACTGAAAATCACAGCGTGACGTGGGCATCCACCGCTCCCGACCCCGTCCTCTAGGCCGGTGTTCCGTCGTGGGCGGTTCCCAACCTGCCCGCTCGGCACACCCCTCGCACGCTTCGTCCCCTCACGGGGGATCTCCGCATGCGGCCCCAGTGGGCGCGCGCGCGCGCACGCCGCCACCACGCCCGTTTCGGCCTCAGGGGGAGCACCGCCTGGGGCCCCAGTGGGCCCACCGCCTGTGCCGCCCCCCACACCCATGTCGGCACACCCCTCACACGGCTCGTGCCCCACAGGGAGCTCAACATAAGCTCTCGGAGGGCGGTATCGCATGCCGCCCCCCCGTCCACTTCGGCACGCTCCTTCACAGACTTCGTGCCCCCACGGGGAGCTCCACCTACAGCCCCAGAGACAAGGCTCGCACGCCGCACGCAGCCTCCTCGCCCAATCGGCTCACCCCTCACACGAATCGTGCCCCCACAGGGAGCTGCACCTGCAGAACCAGAGACAGGGTTCGCACGCCGCATCCCCGCCCATGTCGGTACACTCCCGGCACGGGACCGTGCCCCGCAGGAAGCTCCTCCTACGGCATCAGTGGGCAAGCTTGCATGGCGCCCCGCCGCTCACAATGGCGCAGCCCTCTCACGCGGATCGCGCCCCACAATGAGCAGCTCCACCTACGGCCTCGCTGGGCCCCTTAGCGCGGGAGGGCATCCGCCCTATTCGGCTCCCGCCTCACGCGGGCGTGCTCCGAAGAGGGTTCGGCGCGCCTCTGCGCGCTTGCTCCACAGGCCCCACACTCCCCATCCGCACTGGCCCGCGGCACGCAGTAATGAAAAGAGAGGCACGCCCTGCGCTACACGCAACTTCCTAGGTTGGTCAATTCGCCCGGCATGTGCTTTGTGGACGTGGCTTCCCTCTCGCTAATTCAAGCTGCGCGCGGCCCGCTTAGCTTCGAGTTGAAGAGGTGCGCTCTCGACCCGCGGATCAAAAAAAAGTGTTGTGGACGTGGGGCCTGGAAAAAAGTGGGCGCAACAAAAAAACAAAAAAGCTGGTGCCGCGATTTCTTTCGCAAAGCCTCGAGGGCTGGGCCCATGCGACAGCAGAAAGAGAGTGTTTTCGAACCGTCTGGGCCATAGCGCGCGTTATGCTCACCCCAATACATAACGTCCTCCCCAACGGCCCGGTGCGCCCCTGGACTGCCACAGGGGGGGCATCACAGTCGAAACGCTGTTAAACGCTGTCGAAACGCTGTCGAGACCCCCTTTTTCCCAAGAAGTTCACCTTCGATTCCCATGGAGAGCCGCAGAACACCCAAAACAAACTGCAAGAATCCCGAGCCCCTCCCCAACGGAAAGGCTTCCTGCTTCAGCGGCCGGACTGCATGTTGTGACCCCCCTCCCCCCCCCGCCCGATCCCGCCCGTCATCGCCGCGAAGAACAAGTGCTCTCGAACTGCCCCGGACGGGCAGAGCGGCAGCAGCGCGAAGAGCGTCGCTGGCGGGACGCCGGCTGGGCCGCAGCGCAGCGAGCCTCGGCGCTGGCCACGAGCAGGTGCGTCGGCCACGGGCAGGACACCTCGGACCGCTGCCGCCGTGGCCGCCGCCGCCGTGAGCTGAGCTTGGCGCATCCTGGGAATCCTCGGCGCGTCCCGAGAAGACAGCTGCCTTTTCAACACACAGCAACGACACTTACCGACGACCTTCTGGGCGACGACCTCTCTGCGGCGGCGAGATGGGCATGTCACGGAGTACCTCTTGAAGGCGGCGTGAGTGCCAGAGAGCACGGTTGAAGCACGGTTGATGGACAAACTCCTGCACCGCCCGCGCGACCAGTGTGCTGGCGCGAACTTCCACACGCGCCCCCCTGCCCCCGATTCAATGTTGGTCGGCGTCACCACCAGGGTGCAGGATTTCGGCCAGTCGACAAATCGACGCATCAAGTCGCAGACCGCCGATATTGAATCGGGGGCGAGGGGGGTGTGACAAAAAATCAGCACAGAAAATGCAGGACTTTGTCCATCAACCGCAGGCCCGCTGGAGTCGTCTCGTGCAGGACTTTTGATTCAGGATGATCGCCAGGCGAATCCAGCGACTGCTATCTAAGCCCCTTGCACCCCCAACTCAGGGTGTTCCTCGGCAGTCTGGGACCCGACTGCTGCATTGCTGGCGGGCGTCGCTGCAGGACTGCGCCGTGCAGAAGGAGCACGAGTAGCTCATACAAATTTCAGCTTGCTTCTCTGCTTGGGAAAACGCGACGAACTCCTTTCGGAGCCCATCCTGCCGCACAACCACCCTGAGTCCTCGGAGCACCACACGCCCGGCGCAGGGCCCTGCGCCCTCGGGGCCAAGGGCGGCCGCACCGGCGGAGCTCGAGAGGCGCAGGTGCGGCGTGGCCGACGAGGCCTTCGCTTCTGCAGTGCTCTCCCGCTCGGCGCTCCTCGTGCCCCTTTCGGGGCGACGCAAGACTCGAGATTGAAGGACTCGAGTTTGGCCCGACGGGGCCGTCTGAAGAGTAACGCGGCGGGACGCAGTCTGAAATCTGGCGCGAGCTCCCGCTGCAGACGTGCCACAAAAACTGGGCCGTCGAAATCTCAACGGCGGGCCCGTCGAGAAGCGTCTGCAACCACCTGGGCTTCTGGGCTTCTGCGGTCGACCCCCCGAGCACCGGCGGGGCCCCCGCGGAGGCCTGGTTGCCTCAGGGGTTGCTGCTGGAGGGAGGAAGCGGGAGCGGACACCAAAACGAAGCCTCCATCTGTGCACCACGTCTGTCCTGCGAGCGTGGCCGAAATTCGGGCCCCGAGCTCGGACACGGACGAGAGAGACAGGAGGAGGAGGAGGAGGACGAGGCGAACGAGGAGGAGCAGAAGGAGGAGCAGGAGGAGGAGGAGGAGAACAAGAAGGAGGAGGAGGAGGAGGAGGAGGGGAAAGAGGAGGAGGAGGAGGAGGAGGAGAACAAGAGGGAAGAGCAGGAGGAGGAGGAGGAGGAGGAGGAGTAGGAGTAGGAGGAGGAGTAGGAGGAGGAGGAGGAGGAGGAGAAGCAGCAGCAGGAGGAGGACGAGGAGGAGGCGGCGATCCCGCAGAGGCCCACTTGGGGCCGAGCTCCCCAGGGTGGGCGCCAGGGCCTCCCCAGAGGCGGCCTCCCCGAGGGAAACCGCCGCCCACCTGCCTCAGGGGCCCCGAGCGTGCCCGCAAGGCCCTGAGGCGGTTACGCGTCACGCTCCGTCTCCGGGACGTGTTGCCCAACCATCCTGTGGTGAGGCCCCGAATTCGGACACGGAGGGGGGAGACAGGAGGAGGAGGAGGAGGAGGAAAGACAGGAGGAGGAGGAGAGACAGGAGGAGGAGGAGGAGGAGGAGGAGGAGGAGGAGAGACAGGAGGAGGAGGAGGAGGAGGAGGAGGAGGAGGAGGAGGAGGAGGAGAAGGAGAGAGCATTTGACCGCCCAAGCGTTTCGGGTGCGTCGAGAGCAGCGCGCAGGCCATCGCCAGGCCTACCACGTCGCCGCTTCCCATACCGTACAGGTGACCTGCGGCGGCAATCGTTCTGCCGACCATGCGCCGCCTCGTTGAAGGGAGATACTCTTGCACACATGGAGAGAAATACGACAGGTCGCAGTACGATCGTCAGCAGTACAACCATCAAGATGAAGTTGGACCTGAGACAACACAAGCTTGTCTGGTTGGTATCACAAACCCCAAAAAAATTCTCATGTGGGTTCAAGGTGGCATTACTATACTCAGGGGGACAATCATCCGGAATGTGTTCATCATCCGCACAGTCTTCAACGGAGTAAGTTACAGTCCAATCAAGATGGGCATGGGTTGGTATACGAAATGCCCCCTAAGAGAAGGGAACGGGATCGTAAAACACACATTAATTGTAATCACAATCCATCGACTTCAGTTTGAAAATATATGTTCCATGGTAGAAAAGGCCACAAGAAAGCAGGCCGCTTGCTGGACGGCAGAAGTACTTGGATCTTGTGTATCTCCCCACTCACCGGTTAGTATTATCTGACAGTGTTCCAAACATCGGTCTCATTGCACCCGCTCCATCGTACACTCCACGGCTTGAGCCGCACAAAGGAGTCGATGTAGAGCACGCTTCAGAAGAAGTTGTAGCAGAGTGCAAAAAAGTAAGCATGGAAGCACGGATTCCCAGGCCATCTGAGACGATTACATCGGTGCTTTGCCTTCAAACTTTGGAGACCTTGTTGCCCGTGCCGACCGACAAAAAAGACACGTGCACGATCAAAAGCTGACCTCTGCGGTGAGCCGTCCCAGCCAACCGACACCACTACACACGCCGATTCCAATAGGCCAGCGAAGGAGATCTCGAGGGAAGGTGGAGGCCGAGGCGCTGTCGTCGACATCCCCAGAGACCCCGCGCAGACGTCTCTCGTCGTCAGGGAAGGGAAGGCGGAGGCCCCGAGGCGCTCTCTGCGACATTCTCGAGAACAAACCATAGCCAGGCTGAAGCTGAACGTCTGGTTGCACAAGAGATAGGCGATGACGCCGATCCAAGCAAACACCTAGAAGCACCACAGCTTCGTGTTGTGGAACTGTTGTCGTTGCCACAGACGGTCTACCACTATTTGTTCGACGAGTACAGCAAAATGTGTAACGAAGTAGACGGCACCCCTCACGTGTTGCATAACAAACGGTATTACCAAGCCGTTGGCATGATCCCCGAAGAAAAGGATGAACGTAGACACTTATTTTGAATATAGAACGAAGCAAAGGTGGCAACGCAGAAGATCAGTTTTGCGAGCGCCTCACTGTTGGGAATGGAAGTGGTATAGTCTTTCTATACATTGGCACGGACATGTTTGCATGTGGCGCTTCCCAGGTGGTATGAAGAGACAGGTCGATATTTCGTTGCTCCACCTTAGTGTCACAACGCAAGCATCATCATCAACTCCATCACTATCTTCATCTGTCTTCATCTCCCTCTTTATCGGCATCAGCAAAAAAAGGCCCTCAAGGGAGCCGTTTTCCGAGCGCTGGCGTTCTGTGTCGGAGGAGGTGGAAGTGGAGGTGAGACGGAGGATAATACGGTGGAGGGCTAACGCATTGTAGCCAGGACCCTCGGTGAGGGCACTTTTGTCGAGACCCTCAGTGAGGGCATTTCTTCGCGGAGCAGCTTCCACTTTAGTGACGCACCTGCATCATCCTTTGCTTATGGCGTCCCTTCTCCTCCCGCCTCCTTGTGGGATGGGTACGGGCTCGTGCTGGTTGGAGGGATGGGGGGGGGCCTTAGCAGTTCGATCCGCTTCTGCTGCGATGGCGCACCCGCGTCTGACAACGACGCGGAGGTGGAGGTGGAAGAGAGGAGGAGGATCAGGCTGAATGCTTCGTTGCCTTGCGATGCCTGGCTGCAGTGATCTTAGAGGCATGACTCAACCGCTGCTGAAATATCGGATATTTCGTGACACGTTTCGAGCGAGGTGAGGACGGTAAAGCCTACGCGAGCAACCAGACCTCTGCATGAATTGCGCCCGGCATCGCCGCTTTACGTACACGAGAGGATTGTGCTGCCCACTTTCTGTTTACACTTATGCTGGCTAGATCCTCCATCTAGCCCCTACCAACGCGCTACACAGCGCTACACATGCTTGCTAGATCCTTCATCCAGCCCCAACCAACGCACTACACAGCGCTGCACAGCGCGGATCCTCTCCAGTTTAAGCCGGCGCCAGGAGGAGGAGGAGGAGGAGATCGCGGTGGGGAGTTTTAACCTGACACTCATAGCGAGCAAGATCACGGGCATCTTTACATAGGCCCGACTGGCTGTGAAGCATTAGCGCTGCGCAAGACACAGGCATCCTCAGATCGAGCCATCCTTGACTGCTGCCAGGGAATTACATTGGCCCTGCCATCATTGATAAACGCTTGGCATTGTAAATCATGAGGTGGAGGAGGAATCGAGATTGGGTGGTGAGGGGGGTTATGGCGCGCACCACGCTACTCAGGGGTTTTGTAGACCCCTGCCTGCCCTCGGCGAGGGCACAAGCTGCCAACAGATTTATACAGAATCCCTCGGTAAAGGCATTTTCAGCAACTGCGGTACTGTCCCTCGGTGAGGGCCTTGACCTGGGAAGGGATTGGGGCAGATATGTCGGTTGTAGGTGGGGGGCTACCTTGCGTGTGCCTACTCCGTCAGGACATCCTGGCTAAGGTCCCTTTGTGAGCCTCTCCTTGTTCCACTTGACTTCGTCTCTCTTTTCACCTTTCGGCAATCTGTCACACTTGGTCTTTTTGAGTTGCACTTGATTATCTATGGGACTTTCTTCTCGGTAACCATAAGAAACATGTTGCACGACGCTACGAGCCTCGCTCAAAGCTTGCCCAACGCAAAACAAAAAAATGCGAAACAGGAGGAAAAAGAAGAGGATAACGAGGAAGAGGAGGAAAGGAGGATGAGGGTCCTCGTTCTGAATCCGCAGCGCCGCGCTCCACTTCCCCCCGCTGCCCCTCATCCCTCCCTCCCTCCCATTCCTGCCTCTACCCTCCGCGTGTCAGCATTCTCTTCACACACATACACACACCTCTCGCGGTCCGTATCCGCGATGAGCCAGCCGGTCAGTCAGCCAGCCAGCCAGCCCCAGGTGTCATCTGTTCTGAGGCGCGCTAGTTTCGGGGAGAGGGTCATACCCTGCGTGACTCGCAGATGCATATGGTTGGGTCCTTCGCCCGGCGAAAGGTTGTTGTCCCTCCCCCTCGCTTGAGGCTCACAAGTTGCTAAAGCACCACAGGATGAGATCATGCGGCTGCAATCACCACTGGGAGAAAGCACTGGCTGCGCGGATGATTAGCATCGTGGTGTTACACACAGCGCCAGTTGGGCGAGGTACCAGCAGTGCGGGCTGTTGCCATCAGGACGGCCCCTCCCCCAGACGAGGCCAAGAGAAAGCTGCACTGACACCACCAGGGGTCCAGGATAAGAAGGTCATCGTGCTAGTGAGGTATCAATGCTACTGGGCGCCTTGCTCAGGCCATCCCGAGACTCCAGCTCGAGGAGGCCTCGAATGCCCCTCGCCAGGAGGGGCCTGGATCATGGTGGCGGCGTTCCCCTTCCTTCCTCCAACCTGGAAAATATGCGCCCGCAGAAAGACCAGCAACAGAGGGCAGAAGCAGAAAAACACCCGGAAGTCCGCGCGGAGTTCTTGGGACTGTGCTGGAGACCCCCCTCCCCACACGCGCCCGGGGACGGCGCCGCGGGCGCCGCGGTCTGCGGAGGGGGGTGAGGCGCCGACCCCCCCAAAAAAACGCGCGCCGACCTCCGAAACCTTGCTCCCATGCCCTGGCTCGGCGGCGCGCCGCGCCGAGGGGGGAAGCGACGAGGGGGCAGGCCTTCTCGGAAGAGGGGCGGGGCTCCTCAGAGGCCCCCCTGTGGCTTCGGGGAAGGCTTCCATCGGGGATGGACAGAACCCCCTTTCGTAGAACGTGGTTTGACGAAGACGACCTCCGGCCAAAACCTGGCGGGCGCAAGCATGGAAAATGACGGCCGCGGCGCCCTCTGAAGAACCGAAAACGGACAATTCACAGATCGACGTGTCAGGGTGGGGGATCTGTCCACCCCCGATTACACAGCTTCTCAGAAGGCTGGGGGCCTTCTAAGCCTTCTGAAACGCCTGGTGGCTTTTGGACCATAACTCCACTCTCTGGCGGCCGTTCGGGACGACCTCGACACCCCCGGCACGCCCTCGGCGAGGCGCGGCTGCAGAGCATATCCCGAGGCCAGAAAGCCGCCGAGAACGGGAAACTCGAAGCCTTCTCCGAGAACCGTCGAAAAAGTCCGAGAACCGTCGACAACGTCCAGGGACCTCGAGGCTCGAACCTCGGACTCGAAGCCTTCGCACTTCCCCTCTCGGCGCGCCGCGGCGAGCAGAGCTCGAAAGCGGGGCCCTCTCCTCCGTCAGGACGTCGCAGGTGCCCTCCGCCAGCGAGCGCAGGGCCGGCGAGTCCTCCCACAGGACGGCCTGCGCCTCCTCGGGGGGCCGGCCGAGCGCTCTCCCGCCCTGCGCCGCCCGCGCTCTCCAGCCCGCCCCTCTCGGTGTTGGCTGCGCGCACAGGGGGGGGGGGGGGGGGGGGGGGGGGGGGGGCGCCGAGCGCCGCCAAAGCAAATCATGGGAGCCTCGCGTGTCCTCGCGATTCCGTCGCTCGGGCACGCTCGCGTGTGCCAGCGTCTGGCAATCGATGAGACATCGCCGATGTAGCGCTGGTCTGGCGTCGACCAGGATTGAGCATGTCGCTCTCGTCGTGGCGCTGGCCACATCTGCCTCCCGCCCTGCGCCGCCCGCGCTCTCTGGAGCCCCCCCCCCCCTCAGTGTTGGCGGCGCGCACAAGGGGGGAATAGAGGGAGGGGCTGCTTCTCGGGAGGCGCCGGCCCTGCATCTGCAGACGAGGCCCGCGCCTCCTAGGAAGCAGGGGGGTGCTTCGAAGAAGCCTCCCCACCTGCCCCATAACCCCCTGTGACCCTGCCCCCCCCTAGTACCCCACCCCGCTGCAGACAGACAGACAGACAGATTGACTCACTCACTCACTCACTCACTCACTCACTCACTCATTCACTCACTCACTCACTCACTCACTCACTCACTCACTCACTGACAGGCAGCGGCCGACGAAAAACGACGACAGACGACGCCACACGACCACGACAACCGACGAGCGACGACGACAGACGACAGACGACGAGCGGCAATAGACGACCACGACGACCACAACTACAGACGACGAGCGCCGCACGACGGACGACGACGAACACGAGCTGCAGACGACAGATGGCGACGTCGACGACAGGCAGGCACGCAGACAGGCAGCGGCGGTGGCGACGACGACGACGACGACGACGACGACGACGATGGCGGCGGCAGCGCAACCGATGTCGGTGACGACGACGACAGCGGCCGCGGGCAGCGTCTCCCTGCTCCACAGCATTGCGTCCAGTGCCTCCGCCGCGGAGCTCATCTCCGCCACGGCTGGAAGCGGGCGGGGGCGCAGCAGCAGGCGCGCGGAGCACGGGCGCTGGCGGCGGGCAGCGAGCCGATCAGGCCAGAGAGCTCTCAGGCTGCGATTGCGCAGGTGTGCCGCTGCGGTGGTCTGGTGAGTCTGGTGTCCGTCTGGCGGGGGTCTGGTTGTCCGTCCAATGGGGTGCGATGGCTGGGTGTCTGGGTGTCTGGTTGTCTGGCTGGCGTCTGGTTGTCTGGGGTCTGTCTGAGTCTGGTGGTTGCGCGATGGCGGGGTGAGTCTGGTGTCCGTCCCATGGGAGCCTACATGGCCCCTGGCGCTGTCCGGTTTAGGCTTGCTCTGGACCGGCTCTGGAGCGCATGTGGACCCGGAATGGGACCAGATTTGGACCCGACTCGCCCCTTCACAAGCCTCCTCCTCATCCTCCTCCTCAGCCTTCTCCTCCTCCTCGTCCTCCTCCTCCTCCTCCTCCATCTCTTGGGGCCACGTCCGTTGCTTCCGCGCGCATAGACGGCGCGGCCGGGGGGGAAGTGAGGAGGGGCGGGCCTTCTCAGAAGGCTCGGAAGTCCCCCGGCCTGCTGAGAAGTTTGCTAAACCTTCCCCGAAGACACCGAAAAAACTTATCAGGCGGCCCGAGGGGCCTTCTGAGAGACCCCGCCGCCTTCTGGGAAGGCCTTCTCCTTCTCGTTACCCCCCCTTAGCTCGTCGCCGAGCCAACCCCCCGCCGGCGAAGCCACCCCCCGCTTCGCTTCCGCCAGCCTCCGCCCGCCCTCCGCCGAGGAGGAGCAGCCGACCTTTTCGGCCAGCGGTCCGGAGGAGGAGGAGGGGGAGGAGGAGGAGGAGGAGGAGGAGGAGGAGGAGGAGGAGGAGGAGGAGGAGGAGGAAGAGGAGGAGGAGGAAGAGGAGGAAGAGGAGGAGGAGAGGGGAGAAGCCGACCTTCGGCCAACGGTCGGGAATGCGTTTGATTCCCGCGTCGCCGCGGCGGCCCCGGCGACACGCCGTGCCCTGCGAGAGGAGCGAGCGCGTGTCGCTCCGCTCTCCGCTGGGCGGCAGGCTCGGAACAACTCGGCACGCGGGCGCCTGGGCACTGGACAGCGTGCCGCGCCGAAGCGCGGTGGGCCAGAACCGGCGGAGCGACACGCCATCCAAAAGCTCCGATCGTACAAGCAGAGGCCTCCGAGATGGGGTCGGAGTAGCTGGCGTCGGAGGATCGCACCGCATCGCCGATGCATCGGCGATGCATCGGCGACGTCGGCGATGCATCGGCGACGTCGGCGGTGCATCGGCGGCGTCGGCACGGAGAAAATCGGGCTCCACATCGAGCCGCATCGGCGATGCACTGGCGACGCGGCGCGATCCTCCGACCGCATCTGCTCGGACCCCACTTGGGAGGCCTAGAGTAGAGGTTGCCTTCTCTTCCTCGGGGGCAAACAGCTCCTAAGACGCCCACAAGGATCCCCACGTAGCATCCTAGAAGCCCACGACGCCTCCACCGCGGACTCCACGCCTGAACTCCGTAAGCCTCTAGAATATAGGTCGCCTCCTCTTCCTCTGCAGAAGATCTGCATCCCTCTCGGAGGCGAGGCCCCTCACTCGCGCGCCCCCGCGCTGGGGAAACCAACGAAGGCAACGATATACCGCTGCTCCCTGGACCTCTCCTGGGGTGCGCTCTGACCAGGACTTCGAGGCGAATCACGCGGTGGCGACGAGGGCCGAAGAGGGCCCAGGCAGAGCCCTAAGAGTGGCCCCAAGACGGCCTCGACAGGTGCTCCACGAAGGTCCGGAGAGGCTGTCAAGAGAGCGTCACAACGGGACCAAGACAAGGCCCAGGGAGGCCCCAAGCGGGCGCCAACAGGGCCCCAAGTGTCAGCTCCACCTGCATGGGGGCGTTCTGACCAGGAGTTCGAGGCAAAGCCAGCTGTGGCGACGAGGGCCTCCCAGGAGGCCCCCAAAAAATGATCACGAGGGAAGGGTGGCGGTATGTGTACCATTTCCTCCTCCGACGCGCGGCGCCCCACGGCCCGGGCCGCGCGTCCTGGAGGCGCCCTGCCCCACCCCAGCTCGTCGCCCAGCAGCGCCAGCGCGAGCCTCGGACACAGCCCGGCGGCCACGCCGACCGTGTCCTCGCGTGGCGTGGGCCGGGGACGCCCAAGAGGGGGGCGTCCAAAAGGCGGAGGTCCCAGACCATGACCGGTGGCACGTGCGCGGACCTGTGGGGGGGGGGGCGGGAACGCATGGAAACAAGGAGAGGGGCCATGATGTCCAGGGAGATTTCACGGACCCAGCCATGATATCCACACACACGCACACACACCCCTACTCGTCACCCCCCTCTTGGACGCCCCCCGAGTGGCAGGGGGGGGGGGGGGCACTGGGCCTCCGCGGGGGACAGGACGAACCCAGGACGGGGACAACAAGCGGACCCGGATACCTCGGGGACCTCCGAGATCCGTCAGCTCTGGGCGAGGTACATCGGGCGCCGCGGCCGCTCTGGAGCGCTCCGGGAGGCTCCGAGAGCGTTCCACGACGAAGGCTCTGCAACGGTCCTACCCCGGTCCTGGCCCAACTGGAGCCTCAGAGGCCCACTCTCGACGATCCTCCTCCTCCCCTCCTCCTCCTCTCTCTCCTCCTCCTCCCTCCTCCTCCTCCTCCTCCTCCTCCTCCTCCTCCTCCTCCTCCTCCTTCCTCCTCCCCCCTCCTCCTCCCTCCTCCCTCCTCCTCCTCCCCCTCCTCCTCCTCCTCCCCTCCTCCCTCCTCCCCTCCTCCCCCTCCCCCTCCTCCTCCTCCTCCTCGGCAGTTTCTCTCGCGGTGGGCCCGGTGGCGGCGCCCAGGGCACGCGCAGGGCGGGCGGGAGGCCTGCCAGCGCAGGGGGCTGGGAGGAGCTGGGGGAGCGAAGGGCGCCGCTGCGTCGGCGACGCGCCAAGACCGAGACCGTCCAGAGATCGACATCGCGAGCCCGCTCCAATTGAAGAGACGGGAGCGAGGAGTCCGCCGTGGCCCCACCGAAGGTTTTACGCCTCCTCCTCCTCCTCCTCCTCTCCTCCTCCTCCTCCTCCTCCTCCTCCTCCTCCTCCTCCTCTTCATCATCTGCTTCTTCGTGCGCTTCTCGCACTAGCTGAGGGCATCGCGGGGGAAGATGGGGGGTGAATCGCGTGAGGGGGCCGTGTCGTGTGGTTGGGGCCTTTCGACCTTGCACATCTGGACGCGCCCCGATATACGGGGACCCGCAGCCAGTCCTCTCCAGCATCACTGTCCAGCCAGGATTTGCTGCCCACTCCATCCGATAATGGAACGGGCTGTCAGGCGGGCTGTCGGGCGGGCTGGCGGGGGTAATGTGGCGATGACGTCGTCGTCGATTTCTGACGCTGCGTGGAACGTTCGACCTCCAGCGATCGTGGATTTCCGAAGAAGATCCTTAGATATCGGATGGTCCCTAGCAACTGGCGGAGTTCACACTTGAACGCCCGCGCTGGGGTTGCCGCCGCATCAACGCGGCACGAGCCTTGTGCTTCAAGCAAGGCGTAAGCACAGCCCGACAAACAGAAGCGGACCGCTGGGAGGGGGTGCCGGAGCCGAGGCTTTCCAGCCCTCGCCGGCGATGGGCGTCGAAGTCCAGGAGTGGGAGCGATCGGGGCGACAGGGCAAGCCCCCCCAAACCAAAGAAGGAAAAACAAAACGTGCACAACAAAAAAACACCCGAGGCTAGGTTCAGTCACTGAAGGGGGTTGCTGAAGATGCACGCCGTGGGTCTCTCGGCAAGCACGCTGCTAAAGAACTCTTTCCGGGCATCTATGCGAAGGAACTTTCCTGTCATTGGCAAGGCCTGTGCCCGTCCAGAACGGCACGGCACAGCGAGGCTTTCGCCACAGCCTTTTGACATCCCACGTAGCACCACGGCACCCCAGAATCAAACCAAGCTTCGAGTCATCGCGTCACATCGTGGTCTTCCAGACGCGTAGAAGAATATTGGACTTCGCTGACAATTGACTATACATAGACGCGAACACTGGTAATATGACAGTGTTAGCGAGCGTGGACTCCAAGCAGGGTGTTTATGGAAATCTACGTTGCGCAATCTAGGTGCTGCAACTCACCCATGTTCGCAGTGAGTTGTCAACTCCAATGCTGGCGCAATCGTCCCACCCACCCACCCGCAACTTGGTTTACAAAATCAAGTTGCGGCGGCGATTGCGATGAGTGCTTGGTTTTGGCTGGTGCATCCCTGCGGCCGCGCGAGCCCGCGCATGCTCGCGCGCGCAGCAGCCAGCTACTTTGGCGCGACCGACGCGGCCGCGGTGGCGCTGACTGCTGGGCACATCCCAGCGGGTTCTTCAGTGCCAGTCGGCGACTTGGGCGGGCGCGGTGTAATGGCAACGTCCACAACGGTAGACACGATGATGATAGTGGCGATGCTGCTGATGACAACGACGACGGCACGGCCAGTGACGGCACCGATGCTGATCACGTCGACGACGATGACTGCGTCGGTGATGAAAGTTTGGAGGGAGCACGACATGCGCGCGCGGCCGACGCGCGAGAGTGGCCACCATGATATTATTTGAAGCGGATCGTGCCCCCCAGCACGCGCGCTAGGGCGTTGTAATGATTTCGACCAGCGGCACGAGAGGCCCGTTTGGCAGAATTCCATGAAAATTGACGATGGTTTGCTTCAGAATTCGCAAGAGCACGAGCGCAGGCTGTTTTGAAAACTGGCGTTGCGAAACTACGTGTTTTAAAACAAATGTTGCTGGGACACTCGAATTTCAAATCTCGGCAAAACCTAAGGTTTTTGAATGATTTCGGCATGCGCGCGCAACGACGCGCGAGTGCGCACCTCGTCCCATCTTGCGCAAGGGACTATTACGACAGAACGCGCGCAAGGGCGCTCGAACATTTAGGCACGCGCGCGCGAGAGGCCCATTTGTTAGCACGGTATGGACATGTTGACAAAAAACGATGGTTGTCTTAGGAATTCGCAAGAGCGCGGGCGCAAGCTTTTTTTAGGAAATCCGTGTTGCGAAACCATGTGCTTGTGTATGTTTTCGGGACGCTCGTTTTTGAATTGTTGGCGGAACCCAACGTTTTGGAGGATTTCGGCATGCGCTCGCGACGACGCGCGCGTGTGCACTTCGTCCCGCTTATTTTCAAGGGATTCTTGGGAACTGATGATTCTTGATAAACGAATGCGCGCGCATAGTATTTTCTTGCAGGGGACGAAGGAGGGGCATTACCAGCCTGGCTGGGATGATATGAGTTCCCATCTAGGATGGACGAAGGGGCAAAATCATATGTAAATCCCAATACGAAAAGGGGACCCGTGAAGTCCTGGGGGGTAGATGCTAATACTCTTTAGGGGGATATATGTGGTGCAAGCTATGTCGTGCAATAGATGTCGTGCAATATACGCGGCGCAATGCACAAAGCAAAACAATGCAAAGCAAACCAATGCACTTTGCAATGCGCACCAATGCAAAGCCGTGCAAGCAGCGCACCGCAATGCACAACAAGGCCCAGACGACGGGCGGCGACGAGGCGGCGACGGGGCGGCGACGGCAGAAACACAACCGCCAGAGCGGCACACCGTACCAAACGACGGGCGGCGACGAGGCGGCGACGGGGCGGCGACGGCGGCAACATTGCCTCTAGAGCGGCACACCAGCCCAATTCCTACGAACCAAAGTAAAAACCCCTAATTGCAAGCACTGTTCGGGGAATGTAGCAGAGCACAAGGCCCCCGCCTCAAGGCACCACATGCACGGCACCACGCAGCATTATTACGCAGGCACGGCAATAAAAAAGCAGCATCGCCTTGCACCACTGCCCAACACTGCACAAAAAACGCGGGGCCTTCCGCCTCTGGGATCTTCACACGACAGCACACGCGGCACCACTGCACATTGCACATGTCGCCCAGCACCGCGGAGCCCGCCTCGGGACGCCAACGCACGACACAGCATGGCATCCCATGCACGGCATCATACAGCGCAACACCCAAGCCACCACGTGCCTCGGAGCACCACGCACGACACCAAACAGTACCAGCGAACGACATACGACACCGCGAGCACGACCTCACGTGGTACTGGTGCGAAGCCGCACCACGCACAGAAGCACGGCACGACCTGGCACCTCACGCCCCCCTTGCACGACACCCTGGGCCACCACATCGGAATAATACTGTACGGCAGCGCTGCCCAGGAAGACACACGGCGCCAAGCCCCCCCCCCAACGTGGCACCGCACTTGGCGACAACGGGCACCGTTGCTCAGCACCGCGACACGGCACAAGGCTCGCACCTGTAAGCACCGCAGGGGGCTGCACGTCACCACTGCTCGTTCTACTTGTACCCATCCTCCTCCCCGAACCTCCCGACGTTCTGCTTTTTGTTGGCGACGTGGACCCTGGAGTTCCCGACACGTCCCCAGGACCGATTTTGCCGCTCCGCACACACACACACACACACACACACACACACACACGCACACACACACACACACACACACACACACACACTGTTGCGGCCACGCGTGCGGCGGCGCAGCGCAGGGCAAAACAACAAAGAAAAGCGCGCGGCTCAGGCCAGCTCACTATATACATACATACATTCACTTCTCGGTCGTCAACGAGGAGGCGACTGGCCGTGCTGCTGGGATAGTCTCGCGGGCGCACCCGCGCAAGGCGGGGCAAGAAAGTGGCCAGGCCCTCACGGGGCGGTGGCGGCGGGGGTGGGGCGGGAGCCAGGCGCGCAGCGGCGGGGCGGCGGAGCAAACCGGTCGACACCAGGACGTCGCGGGACCGGGGGCCCGCCAGAGTTTTTGGACACCCGAGATGGGCACGGAAAGAATGGGCACTATGCCCAACAACAAATGTTGTCCCAAGCCAACAGCGGCCGCTGTTGGGCAGGCGGCCTTCTGTCTCGAATGGACACAGGCCGCGGCGGCGTGGACAGCGAATCCTGTTGAAAATGAACAGGAATTGTTGTTGGGCATTGTACCCATTCTTTCAGTACCCATTTCGGGTGTCCAAAGAGCTAGGCGAGCGGAAGGGGAGAACAGGGGCCCGCCAGAGTCAGGCGAGCGGGAGGGGAGCCCGCCAGAGAAGGCGTGCGGAAAAAACGGGGCACGCCCGATCAGCGGGTCCAGTACGGACAAAAAGCCAAAGCCGGCCAGAATCAGAAGAGACAAGGGACCAGCAGGACAAGGGCAAGGAGGGGCCCAGCAAAGCGGAGAGAGAAGCGAGGAGCGAGGAGCAACAGCGAGAGCCGAAGGAGACGGACGGACGGACGCGAGTGACGGGGCCGACGATGAGGGGGAGACAAGGGGACGAAAGGAGAAGGAGGCACGACACATCAACAGGGCAAGGCAAGACACGGAGAGGAGAAGGAGCCAGCCGAGGAGGGAGGCGCGGGAGGAAGAAAGGAGGCACAATACAAAAGCAGGGGGGGAGGAATGAGAGGGGGTCCACGGGGCGGCCTTGAGCGACGAAGCCGCCGACAGAAAGCACGCCAGCTGGGCAGCGCGCGGAGCAGGAGGCCGAGCCACGGGCGGGGGAACGGCGGGGAGGGGAGGGGAGGACGGAGGGGGGAAGGGATGGCGGCTTGACCCCCGCCACGGGGAAGGTGCGACGATATACACACACACACACACACACACACACACAATCCCACACACAGGCACACACACAGGCACAAACACACACACACACACACACACACGGCGCCCTCTTCCTACTCCTCCTACTCCTGGTCCTTTTCCCCACCCTCCTCCTTCCAACGCGGTCCGTGGCACGGCGGCATGAGGGCAGCGTGGCGACGGGGGCCAGCAGGACGAATCGCCTCGGCGCCTGACCGCGCCCCGAATGCAGAGCAGGCTCACAGACGACGACGACGACGACGACGACGACGACGACGACGACGACGACGACGACGACGACGACGACGACGACGACGACGACTACGACGACGACGACGACGACAACGAAGAGGTGGGCTTCGTCGTTGAGGGCCTCCCTGGAACCCTCGTGGCCACGCACGGAGCCGCGTCGACATCTTGGCCACGCGAAGCGCAGGGGAGCCCAGGGACCTTGAGCAAGACCGCGGCGAAAACCTGGCCGGGGGGGGGCGTGGTCGAGAGGTTCGGGGCGTCTCGTTCATATTTACGACACGGAAGGCTTTGGCCACCGCCTCAGCACATCGACCGCCGTGGCCTTCACTGCATCTGAGCTCAGGCGGGAAAGCCCGAAGTCCCAGACCCAAGAAGGTGAACAGGCACCCGCAAAGGACAGCTGAATCACGGCAAGACCCATCCTCATGTGTTGCGGGCAGCTGTACCCAGGGAGGACAAGCGCGAAAGGATGAGGCACGAATGAGACGCTCCTCACAGTGGGGGCGAATCGATCGCCCAGGGCTGGAGACCACCACAAATCCATGATGTGCTCAGCCGAGGTCATGCCATGGCTCAGCGGGATGGTGGACACGAAGCGGACGCTGACCGAGCAGTGGCGAGCCCGCCATGCGCACCACGGCAAAGAGGAGGCGGGTCAGGGCGTTGCTGCCTTTCGGGGCCCACACGGTGACCGCCTGGCCACACAAACGCTTCCAAACCTTGACGCCCCCTGTCTCCAAGAGCGCGGCCAATGTGCGCGCCTCATGGATCCTCACCGCTTCCAGGGTCGGGGTGAGGATGGAGGACTAATTCATCAGCAGCCTGTCGTCGGACAAACTTGCGGTGTCGCAGAGCATCGTCATGCCATCCGTACCGAGCTCTTTCTGCCTACCTACCAAGCCACCCCAACCCAACCCGAAGACCCGAATTTCGGGTTGGAGGGGTCAGAGGTTGGGGGGTGAGATCGAAGCGGAACGGAGAGCCCCCCACCGGGAAATCGGTTTCGGTTTCGTGGTCGAGCGTGCCGTGCGTGCGGGCGAAGCGAAGCGAAGCTGCGTGGGCGGGCGAGAGGAAAGTCTCCTGCGGCTGAGGCGCGGACGAACCAAATGATTCCCCCCCCGGCAAACGGGGCCGCGCGGTGTCCCGCCAGTGTCCCGCCGGTGTCCCGCTGGTGTCCCGGTAAGTATCCTGTGGCTGAGGCGTGGCCGGACCAAATGTTTCCCCCTCCGGCAAAAGGGGCCGCGCGGTGTCCCGCCGGTGTCCCGCCGGTGTCCCGCTGGTGTCCCGGTGTCCCGCTGGTGCGAAAACGATAGTGAAACCGATAATGAGATCGATTGTGAGATCGGTTGTGAAATCGACAGTGAGATCGATAGTGAGATCGATCGAGTGAGATCGATGGTGAGATCGATTGTGGGATCGATAGTGACAGCGATAGTGGGCTATGGTGAGATCGATTGAGTAAGATAGATAGGGAGATCGATCGAGTTATATCGACAGAGATCGATAGTGCGATCGATAGTGAGATCAATGGAGTGATATATCGATAGTGAGAGCGATAGTGAGATCGATGGAGTGGTATCGATAGTGAGATCGATCGTGGGATCGAAAACGAGATCGAGAGTGAGATCGACAGTGAAATCGATCGAGTGAGACCGATAGTGAGATCGATCGAGTGAGATCGATAGTAAGGTCGATAGTGAGATCGATCGTGGGATCGATAGTGAGACGCAAATCGATAAGCAAATGCAAATGCAAATCGTCAGACACATCGACATCCCGTGCTGTATGCTGTGCCAAGAGCGAGCGGCAACGCAACAATCTCTGAACACCAAGGCTCCCAGTACGAACGTTGGCGGAACAGGCCCTAAAGGGTCGCTCCAAGAAGCTCCCGGGAGGCCCCGAGAGGCCCCCAAGAAGCCCAAAAAGGCATCCAAGAGGCCCCTAAGAGCCCCCCAAGCAGCCCCCAAGAGCCCCCCAAGGGGTCCCAAAGATGAGCCCAAACGGCCCCCAAAGCCCTTGCAAAATGAACCAAATAATTTATTATTTCGTTGGTTCCCGGGGGGGGAAATGGTACCAAGGCGCCCAAGAGCGAAGGGTGACGTAAACAACTCGACACTAAGGCTCCCAAGAGCGAGCGGCAATGCAACCATCTCCACTGGCATCGTCAGAACAACAATCACCACTGTTGCCCATTGCTGGCCCCCTCCCCCCCCAACCTCCTTATCACCCGCAGGGTGGTCGTATAGGTAAGGGTCCCATATGTGCTTTTCAGTGTTCCCCGACCCCCCCCCCCCACTGGAAATGGAGGGCACATTGAGGCATTCGGGTTGGGTTGGGGTGGTTTGGTGGGTGGTGACTTTCAGAGTGGCAGCCTTGCTCTGCATACATGCCACCACATGTATTAGTCCACCTTTGATGCACCACATAGCTTGTACCCCATTGACACTACAACACATAGATGCATGCACCCCACAGCTTGCACCACATGGATTGAACCACGTGGATTGCACCCCCAAGATTGCACCACACAGATCTGACTATTCAACGTCATCAGCAGCAGCGTCATCGTCGGCAGCTGGATCAGCATCAGCATCATCGGCACCATCCGCGCGACTACAATGGGAGCAGAGCCAAAGGTTCGGCCAAAGCCCAAGAGGCTGGATGTCACTGGAAGCACCAGGCACGTCCAAAAAAGTGTGCCCCGATATGTGGAAAGCAAGTGCACGGGAAGCCGATTCACTCACAACGAGAAAACCACAACGCCACGAGTGACACCATCCGAAGAAAGAGTGCAAAGAGAATCGAAGCTGGGATGGACACGAGTGCGGTACACTCAATATATACATATATACATATATATACATATATACATATATATATATATGTTATATACATATTGTGTGTATATATATATACCAAAAAAAAAAAAAAAAAAAAAAAAAAAAAAAAAAAAAACAACAAAAAAAAAAAAAAAAAGCCTAGGGGTCCTCCCACACGCACGCGACCACGCGCGCGCGCACACTCCAGAGTCAACAGACATGGCACCAGACCTGAGAACCATCGGTGCACCACCCTGAACATCCACTCTACTCATCCGCACGCTCCCTCCCTTTCCCTTTGCTACCCTCCCTCCGGTCACCCTGCGCCACCTTGCCCCAACGTGGCACTGCCTGTCACTGCGACTCGCAACACTTCCCCGTCGGTCCGCTGCGAGGGTACCGCAGATGCGCAGGAGCCGATTGGCAGCCGCGTGCGCCACTGCGTCCTGAGGGGGAGCGATGAGGAGGCCAGGAGAGCCCAGAATCGAATCGATAAGTCGGATTAACGATCGAAATGAGTCGGATCGGCGGAAATCGGCAGCCGAGTCAGGGGAGAAGTCGAATCAACGGAAATGCAGGCCTCCATTGGGAAATCGGAGCCCCAATCGGAATCCGAAGTCGAATGAATCGGAATATGAGGCCATCAAAGTCGGATCGAGTCGAATCGGAGGAATCGAAATGAGCCCTGGGAGGCACCCTGGCACGCACATGTCTCACTCGATATCCTGACACACAGTGCCAACGTTTCCGCGTGATCCCCTCTTCTTGCCCAGCAGGTCGGCCGTCAGGGTCTACCCAGGAGGTCAAGCGAGCCAGGATTGAGAGGGAACGCTAGAGGGGAACCCGCTCAGGGGCTGGAAGCAATCGAGTAGGGGATCGACTACATGATTGATTTACCCAGAAATTGATTGTTAGTCGAATCTACGGACCAAAACAACAACAAAAAAAAAAAAAACATTGCTCCGTCCGTTGACTTACCAACATGCTGCGTGTCTTCTCGTAGACTCGACGAGGAAATCAAGCTTGGGGTAAACCAACTCTGTAGATCGATCCCCTGCCCGAAACGTGGGGCTGGAAGCGGCGATCCATCGCCGATACGGCAGCGACGGGCCCGCTCAGGAATCCGCAAGTGATCCCGGGCAGGGGCGGGCCCCCGGGCCCCCATCGCCCCAAATCGGCGATCGATGAGCGATCGGGGGTCGACGCGTCTCCCCCATGGGCCCGTTCTCTCCACTCCACGCAGCCACGCAGCCACGACACGCCAGAGAAAGGGAGACAGAAAGAGAGAGAGAGAGAGGGATATGTGTGTATGTATATATATATAACAAAACGAACCAAACAAAAAAAAAACAAAAAAACAAAAAAACACGCGAGCTTCCGAACAAGAACTGTGTTCGTCGCAGCGCTGGCGGACGCACGGCGCGGTCGGAGCCTGCGGCTTTCGAAGAAGCATTCTGCAGCTGCTCGTTCCTGGTACGGGACAGAGGGCGCTGAGAGACATCCCCCGCACCTGCTGGGGTAGCTTCCAGACCAGTCTTCGAATAGGGGATCGACTACAGAATTCATCTTCCCCGAAATCGATGTACCCCAAAATTTGTCGACTTCGGAGAATGCGTAGAATGCTCCGTAGAGCATTCCACGCGCTCATTCACAGATTCGACGGATTATCAAGTCTGGGGTACATCAATTCTGCAATCGATCCCCGACTCGAAGTCTGCAGGCCGCGTCCAGACGCGGCGACGAGGGGCCCCCGCAAAGACCCCGCAGAGGCTTCGCCGAGATCGAAGGGATCGGCGCCCCATGTCGGGACACGTCTCCTGCAGGGCCTCGGACAAATCGAGGGGGTCAGCGGCCCGCTGCGGTACCCAACCACCCCCGAGAAGCCCCTGGGAGCCCCTGGAGACCCGGCGCAGACGCAGTCAGCTCGACATCAAGCCACGAATTTCCCTCCGCTGGACACCCCTCCACCCAATTCCTAAATCTTAATCGGGCACGTCCCTCTACAGGAAGAGTACCCAAAATTAGTCCGAAGAAATATGGGGACGCTTTGTTTGACTATGTTTGGCCCTTTTGAGGGTATTTTCGGCGGTGGCCAAACCTCCCCGTAGTAAACCACCGTTTAATGAAAACGGCCTAGGACCGAAACCGACGGACTCGGACCCGCAAAAATGACGGCCGCAACGCCCTCTCGCGAACCGAAAACGGCCAATTCGCTAATCGACGTGTCAGGGTAGGAGGTCTATCAACCCCCGATATGTTTTAACTATTTTCATCTGTCCTCCAGAAACCGCCTGCAGTGGACATGCCCGACCTATCCCTGGCTGCATGGCCACATGCTCGATCGGGCTGCCGGCGCCCTTGCGCGCCAGGGGGCACTCGAAGAAGCGCTGCGTGGCTGGGGCCCTCCTGGGATCCGATCCCTGCCCCCCTGGCTGTGGCCGATCTGCGGAGAGAAGGGCCCCCCTCTCGGCTTTGCTATAGGATGTGGCCCCAGGTGTACAATTTGGCGTCGGCGGCTGGGAAGGAGGGACTGCGCTGGCGAGTAGAGCGAAACGGGGCAACGTTAGGCGAATTCAACCACCATGCAGGAGGGCCGAGAGGAAGCCACCATGCGGTCCCAGTGGCGGGAGATCCACCTGAGGTCCCGAATTTACAAGGATGGAGGGACGAATTCAGCCACCATGCGAGGAAGGAGACGAAGCGGCGGCCGAGAGGAGGAAAAGCGGGCCGGGGCCGGTCTACGGAGACGGGGCCCGTGCCCCCCGTGCACAGGGCGTGAGCGGGCGGCGGCGCGCCCCGCGAGAGGGGGCCACTCGATAGAAAGGCTCGAAGGCGCAGGGGGAGGCTCACACACACACACACACACACACAAACACACACACACACACACACACACAAACACACACACACACACACTTTTTGCGTCGGCGGCTGGGCAGAGGGACTACTCTGGCGATGTGGCATTAGTGGGTCACACAAAACGCGAATCGAGCCGCTGGCCACACACACACACACACCCAGCGAACCCGAGACACCTAACAAGCCGACGCTTAGATGTGCTGCAAGGCACTAATGAACCGCACGCGCTCGAGGTGCACGGGGAGAAGAGGGAGAGAGAAGCGAGAGAAAGAGAGAGAGAGAAGGGAGAGAGAGAGAGAAGGGAGAGAGTGTGCGGCGGCGCGTGACTTTCTCCCTCGCGAGGTCGCGACGACTCTGGGCTGAGGACCGGGGGGGGCGTCGCGCCGGTCGCGCCTGCAACTCACACAAGGCTTCCCTGTCGCGGGCTGCGTGTCTGTGCTGGGCTGCACCCCGTTGAAATGTCTTCCAGTTTCTGTGATGGTCTGAGGTCGGGCATGTGCTCCTACAGGCGGATTCTGGAAGAAACCTGAAAAATTGTCAAAACATACTCAAGGATATTCAAAGATAGTCCAAAAAGGTCTTCCCCTGACTACTTGTTTGACTATTTTTGAAGTTTCCTACCGTAGAGGGGCATGCCCGACTTAATGATAGTCGGAGGCGGCAATGAGGGCGAATAGCCCAGGGGCGGGCATTGCACGTATCCCTCCAGAAGCCTCGACGAAGACGTGGACCTTCGGCGCCCCTGCACACGTGCACTGCTCCCTCCTGGGCTATTCGCCCCAATCGTCGCCTCCGAGATGGACTGTAGCCCACGGATGGGCGGGCGCACCCAGCGCGTGGCAAAGAGTACCCAGCGCTCTGTTCACGGGCCTCTCCCACCACGCGCCCCGTCACCGTCGGAGGCCTGCTCCACGATGGAGACGTTCCCGCCGTCCACGCTGACCCGCGGGGGGATGATCCAGCACGAACAGACGCCCAAGAATGTGACGAAGACCGGCTACACGCAAGAGCGACCCCAAGCAAGAGCGACCCCTGGTGCGGTGCGACAGCAGCGCGACGGCCGCGCACCGAGGGGCACTCTGGCAAAGGGTCACGCCTGCGCGCAGACGAGAAGTTCGGCCGCTCCGCGCTGCCCAGGTTCACGCGCGCCGTCCTCAGCAGGAACCAGTCCGAGATCTGCGCGGGCAGGCACCGCGCGGCGCAGAGTTGGTAGGCGGCCTCCTCCGGGTCGGGCTCGCCGCCCGGGCGCCACGAAGCCCCCGGCTGACCCGGCAGCCAGCCCAGGAGGCCACTCTGCGTCTGCTCGTGCAGCGCCAGCTGCGCGGCCATCTTCGGGAAGTAGTCCTTCCGGAACCAGCTGCGGAAGGCCGGCTCGAAGCTCTCGATGGCCGGGCGCTTCGAGGACAGCAGCACGCCTCCAGAGGCCAGGCTCACCAAGAAAGCGATCCAGAGGAGCGCCTTCAGGAGGCACATCAGCACCGTGCCCACGAGCAGCGCGGCGATCCCCAGCGCCATCACCTGGCCCTCCCTCGGCAGACGGTGGAACTGCTGGATTGCCCTCCTCGTGGTCGGATGATTGCGCACCTGCAAGACGCACTCGCTGGCCGCAGCCTGGACTTGTGGATGCCATGACAATGGACACCCTAACAATCCGATCATTGAGTTAGAAATGTAGTTAACATGTTTGAAACATGATCTGAAAAATATTGAAATGTGTTCTCGACATGTTAGCACATGTTTAAGACATGCTTTACACGTCTGGAAATTAGTTGACAACCTGCTTCCTCTCAATTGCTCGTCGTCCACAAGCCTGGACTCGCACCACGTCGTACCTGGCCTCGGTCGGCACAGCTCGGCGCCCAGAGCTGCGGTGGGCGTCCATGGCTGGCCGAAACGGCCCGCAAAAAGGCAGCCTGCGCGTGCGCGGAGCGCCTCTCCGGTGCGGGACGGGCGGAGCTGCGCCCCCCCCCTGATCTTGAGCCAAAACGGCTGCGGAAGGACAAGGACTTTGCCCTGGACTCAACGCGTGTACATTCAATGCGTGCTGCTGGCACGGCCCCTTGCGGGGCCTCTGAGGCTAAAAACGGCTGCGGAGTTCGGGAAGCCTTGCTGCAGAATCGTCTCTCCCGCCTGTGCTACACTGTGTATGCGACTACGTACGGCAAGTTCGTGTCGTGTCGACCCAGGCGTTGGTTCCTGACAGCGCGGGGATCGTTCAACCTTGAACGATCGGCCGTTTCCGCAACGTCCAATCGTTCAACATCGACCGATTCTGGGCCGCCGCCGCCGTGCAACGTTGAACGCCGGCGGCGGGGTCGCCGCCGGTCGACACGACACGAACCTACCGTACGCAGCTAATTCGGTAAGGTGAGGAGCCGTTGCATGGTGGGTCTGCGGTCCGAGGGCCGATGGACAGACGGCCGTGTCAGCATCGCGGGGCACCCCATCCCCGTGCCGACGGCACGGTTGCGTCGAGAACTCGGGGGAGCGGTGGACGGATCACGGAATGCGCCAGGGCCTGACCGTCAGGAACAGATCCTTGCCCAGTGCCCTCACAGTACGCCGTAGAGTGGGTGGTCCGGCCGAAGCGCCTCCTGGGCCTCTGGACTGGCGGCCCCGGACCGCCGCCCGCGTTCGAGGCCACGCCCTTGACCGCCCGACCCCGCAGCTCGGGAGCCACCGCGGTCTAGCAGTTGCCATCTTTCGGCCCCTGCCCCTCGGCATCCCATCCCGCGTCCCACCCGCATCCCTCCTCCCCTCACCTGCTCACACGAGGGTACATAGAGGTCTCGCCGCTGCGCTCCGTCGCGCCGCTGGCGCTCGAGCAGCTGCTCGTCGCGGTGGTGGTCAACACGTGATCGCTGGAGGCTTCCTCAACTTCAGCGACCAACTGCACGGGTCGAAGGCGGCTCCTTCTCGAAATGGAGCTCTCGCTTGAGACTTTCCTCGAGCTTTGCGACCACGCGTGTGAGCATGGTAAATGTGTGCATGAGTACTGGAAGCGCCACCCTTCCCTACAGGAAGCGCACCCTTGAGTACCCGCCAGAGAGCTGCAAGGCGGTTCCTTCTCAGCACCAGGCCCTCGCCAAAACGGAAGGCACATAGATGGCGCTGTAGGGACATAGTTACGATGGGGCTTGGGACGAGAGGGTGGATATTGCAACATCGCTGATGCATCTTAGATTTACTTTGTTCCCCCTCATCCTCCTCTCATCCTCCCGGATTTCGCCAGATTCCGAGCAAGGCTTTTGCAGGAGGACGGGATTCGGGGCGTCAAAAAATGTCCTCACGAAGTCCACGCAGGGGCGGTGCTGCCGAGAGTGAGAGAGAGATAGAAAGAAAGAAGAAAAAAAAAAAAAACAGACAGACAGACAGACAGACAGACAGACAGACAGACAGACAGACAGACAGACAGACAGACAGACAGACACACAGATAGACATACAGACGGACACACAGGCAGGCAGGCAGGCAGGCAGGCAGGCAGGTAGAAACAGACACAGAGAGAAAGAGACAGAGACAGAGACAGAGGCAGAGACAGATTGAGAACGGGGCACTCCTCCGAGTACATGAGCGCCACATCGACCACCTGGAAGGCATCTGAATATTCAGCGTTGGAGTTGGCGAGGATTCCGCAGTGAACAGCCAAGGCTGGTAATTCAGAAATGCAGGCCAAGAGTCGTGGATATGGCTTCAGTGGACAAGATTATCCATGGCTGCCTGCTGCATCTCCCCCCTACGGTCCCTTGCTGCCCTCTCCCCGAAGACCCTCCTGCCACCCGATCACTGCATGAAGTATCCGCGGTTCGTTTGTGAGACATCCACCGAAGGTTGCTCGAGCGCTTGCTAGGGGTGAGAGTGAGGAGGCGTGTGAGGTGATTGGCTGTCCCTCGCCTGCTGAGGTGAGTGGTCTGGGGGGGAGACGATCCCCACGGCGCGTCTCCCGGGTATCTCCAGGCCTTAACGGCCATACACGATAGCCCAAGAGAGCCCAAGATGGCCTTCAAGATTCTCGGGCATGCTCCCAGGAGGCCCTGAGAGGGCTCCAACGCAGCCTCGAGTGGCCCCGGAGCATCCAGGTTGCTCCCGAGAAACCAAAATCGTGAAAACCTGTGGCCTTTCAGAGATGCTTGCCCTTCGCTTCCGAGGGCTTCTGAGGCCTCATGGTGGCTCCAAGATGGCCCAAGAAAGCCCCAAGGGAGGCCCAGAAATGCTCAAGCACTGAGTTTTCTGGCTCTGGAGGGTCAGCGCTACTGAAGTGTCATCCCCTTTTTGGTCTATGCCCTCCGACATGGCCCCGATAGGGCCCGCAAGGGTCCCGAGAGAGCCCCAGATGCCTCCGAAGTTGCCCCAAGGAGCCTCCAAGAGGCTCCCCGATCAAGAGATCCGCACCCATGACACATCAGCGACCCTCGGACCCGCGCCGAACTCAGCCGCCGCAGCCCATCACCCCAGCAGGGCGACCCTGCTGACTTCTCCATCCCTCGGGGGCCGTGGCGTGAGAGTCTCGAACAGCGTCGCGCCTCGCGCGGCGGGAGGCGCGAGCCGAGGCGATCTGCACGCCCTCACTCCTGTCCAAACCGCGAAGCACGACGCGCGGCCATCTTCGTGCCCAGACGGGTGATCCGGCTTCCGAGGCCATCACCATCCGCAGACGCTCTCCATGGACGGAGTGAAAACGATGACCACGACCGAGGCAGCACGCGGAAACGTCGGCGCCCATCTTGGCCATTCTCCATCTTGGTCATCGTAGACCCTTGGATCATCGCGAATCGGTGAGGGCAAGCACAGACCGTGACCAAGAGCGGCGTCGGCAAAATCCGGCGAGATCTTGGTGATGGTTATCGCGCCTCCTCCCTCGACTCCAGGGACACTCGGCCTCCAGAACCTCCCCCTGCGCCCTCCCGGGCAGGGGGGGGGGAGCCCGGGGCGACATCCTGCGGGCTGCTCGCCCCATCGCCCGCTCCGAGCTCGGCCCATGGCCCCCGGTTACCTCTGACTACCGTAAGACTCTGGGAGGTCAAGTCAGGCCTGCGTGCGTAAGGCGGGCGGGTAGGGTCGCGGGGGCGTGCGTAAGAAGGGCGCGCTGGCATCCTGTGCACTCCTGGCTCTGAGCATGCCTGAACGAGTTTAGGTTTGGTCGTCGTGGGTGTAATCGTTTTGGGGTCTGGTCCTCCTGGATATGCCGAGCGAAGTCTGGAGTGGTGGTGCCCTCGGGGATGGACAGAGCCCCCTTTAGTAAAACGTGGCTTGGTGAAAACGACCTCGGGCCCAGCCCTGGCGGGCGCAAGCCTGGAAAACGACGGCCGCGGCGCCCCATCGAGAACCGAACACGGACTGCTCACGACTCGACGTGCCAGGGTGGGGGTCCTGTCCACCCCCGACGCCTTCAGAGAGGAGTCGGAGGGAACCCGGCCCTGGCCCACCGCGAGGCCCTCCCAGCCCGCCTGCGCGCAGCGCATGTGGGGCGTCGGAGCGCCGCGCGCAGGCGCCCTCGACCCCCCTCGGGGCTCCGCGCCCGCCGGGCCCCGCCTCCTCGGCAGGACCTCAAAGAGTCCAGGCCGAGCCGGCGCGCTCAAGGGTAGGGCGACGATATCTATACATATCCACTGCTCCTGGCCAGGCCCATCCTGGGCCCAGGAGCGGTGTATATGCCTCCCTGGCCAAGCCAGGAGGGCGTATACACAGCTCTTGGGCCCAGGATTGGCCTGGCCAGGAGCAGTGGATATGTATAGATATCGTCGCCCTAAAGGGTGAAACGCTTCCTAAGGGGACGCCAGCGAAAGGGACCTCTGAGACCGCGGCGCTGCACCCGAGACTGCGAGGAAGTGCGAGAGCGAAAGCGTCGCGCGGCGACCTTGTGGGCGAAGCCGAGCGGACTTGAGAGATCGGCATCGCCCGTCTCAGGAGTCCCTTTCCCTGGAGAGCCCCTTCTGGAGCCACATTGCAAAGAGTGGTGCCCGTGGGTGCGCGGAGTGCGCCGGCGCAGGCCGCAGAGGAGGATCGGGGGCGCCCAAGCGGGGGGCGTACAAGGGGGGGGGTGCAAATCATGGCCCGAGGCATGTGCGCGGACCAGGGGGGGCGGCCAGGGAACGCACTGAAGTAAGAAGAGGCGCCATGAAATCTGGGGAGACATCATGGCCCCCGCCATGATGTCCACCCCCCCCTTAGCCATCACGCCCCTCTTGGCCGCCCATGTGGGAAAACGGGCCAACCGCACACTGGCCCGGGAATGCACGCGCCGCGCCGCTCAAGGCGAACGGGCAACCCCGGGGCCCTGGGCGCCACGGGTGGGTATCCAAATAATTACTGACCCCCACACGCGGCCAGAGAACTTTAGTAAATCACCCAGGCCCGCTTCTAGCGCTGCAAAGATGCTGAAGGACCAGGTGGGCCCAGGAAAAATTGCTCTGTGAGCAAGACCTGGGATCCACACAAGAAGTCGCCGCAAAAAATCCGTTGATCAGGGCCTAGGACATACTTATTTACTAAACGGTCCTAGGCCAATCAAAATCAGAGAAAGCCAACATTGTACCAGCAAAAACAATATACAGCAAATAAACCAGAAAGCTGAGCAAACAATCTGAACGCCAGCCTGGCCTCTAGGGTCTAGGGGAACAGCCACGATCCGACACTCGTGGGCCACATACGACAGTAGTTATGTTGCTTGAGCTGAAAGAGCGCGTTTTCAGGGAGCGTTGTAGACAGTGGGTTTGGATGGGTTTTCATGTGATCAGCAGAGGGCACGAGCCTACCGTACACCGCCCCCCGAAAAGAA